AGTGCTCTTGAAATGTAAGAATCCAAACACGGAACCCTCTTTTAATTGTAGGGCTTATTCTGGATAATAAATTATGTCATCAGTCACTAATTCAATTTACCATAACGGGCACACAGGATTATTGACGGGTTTGGATTAAGGGCATTTAATTCAAACAAAAAACGCAATGAAATTTCAGGAGCATTCTTGAAAGCTCGAGAAACTTCCAGCTTAAAGAGTGAGTGAGTATAAAACTGGTTGCTGCTTCACTCAGCTGGTAACAGTAAACAGTAAAGCAAACAGTAAAAACAAAACTTCAAACGCGCTCACAAACTTAATTTCAAATTTTCTTACTTTTCCTGTGTTCTTAAACTTGTGTTTTCAATTTAAATTTTGTTCTAACAATCAAAGTCCATTGAAAATGTCTCTTGTTCCACGACTCATTGACACAATGTTCCGAGATCCATTCGATGATATCCATCCAATCATCGCTTACCGTGAACCAGTTATGGATTACCCTAGACGATCGTGGGGTCAAATGAATCGTGCTCTTCGTCAATTAGACCAATTGTCTAAGCATCTTAATCAAGAAATGGCAACAATCAAGGATTCCGAGGATAAATTCGAGGTTAATGTTGATTGTGCCCATTTCAAACCAGAAGAGATAAACGTTAAACTGTCCGACAATAATTTAGTTGTCGAAGCAAAACACGAAGAAAGATCTGATGAACATGGATACATTTCTCGATCATTTAAGAGACGATATGTTCTTCCAGAGAATGTAGAATTCGAGAAACTTCAGTCCAATTTAGGAGTTGATGGTGTACTTTCAATCAAGGCTCCAAAGAAGGTTGTCAATGCTGTAACAGGAGAAAAGAAGATTCCAATCACTTTGACCAACCAAGTCCATCAACCAGTTGAAAGTGGTGATAAAGCTCAAACTGAAAAGATGGAAACCAAATGAACAAACAAATTAAGCCAAAGATATGGAATCAAAATGTAATTCTGGTCCAATCTTTAAATTTAGGTTTTTTAAATTGTTGTAAACTATGTAAATACGTATGTGATACTCTGTCATGTTGTAAAGATCTCTCTTTACTCATCTTATTGTAATTTTGGTTATAATTACAATAAAATTAGTTTTTCTAACAATCATCTTTTTTCCGCCATTCATTTACATTAATGAAGAAGGTTATCAAAGAAGAAACTTGAACGATTTCAGTATCATATACTCGCACAACGATTCCATACTTAATACATTTCATTTCAAAAATCCATAATCTATAAATATTTTTATGAGATGCGGAAATTTACATAATTTAATTTAAATGTACACTGGTTAGCTCACTTGGAAATAAACTGCATTCAAATCATAGAGACTTAGCTTGTCATGTCAGCAAAATAATGAGTTTACTAAAAAAGCTTGAATATAGAGTAATTCATCAAAAATTAACATCTTAATACAATTCCATCAATGAAATAATTCACTTTTAGCAATAACAGTGATACATGAGATTCAAGAAAAAATTAAGCTTGTTAATTTGCAAATTTTTGATACAAAGAGATCCAATCAAATAAATGATAACAAATTATGATAAATACAAGACAGTTTCATTATTTGCGTTGAGTCAAATTAGATGAATTTATTGTGGAACGAGAGAATGGGAATGGTGTGATCCAATCGCCAAACAATGAAACAATGAAATATTTAAAATAATCGAGTCAACTTTTCTTATAATACCGTACAAAAAAATCTTAATAGAGGTCACTTTCGTTATTTGATCTGATAGGCCAAAAGCTCAAAAAACCAATAAAATTTAGTTTATTACAGATCAAGCAGACTGTAATTTTGCATGTCTTTTGGCGATTTGGTGATGGGTAGATGGATGGAAGATGACAAGAATGGAAGTGGCAATGAGGATGTTAAATGATAGAATTAATGAATAGTTAATGATTTAACTGATTTCAAGGGATGACAGGTAAACTGGATAATGGAAAAGTTATAAACAATTTTGAGTAGCAAAAGAAAACTAGATTACATTGAAAAAGGAATAAACAATTAACGGTAACCTTTTCTAGTCTTCTTTTTAACCACTTTTTTCTGCTTAGCTCTTTGGTTATTGGTGTGCAAAATATCGGCTAAGGTTGCTTCCTGCTCATATTTGGGAACAATCTGGGAAATGTTTTCCAAGTATATGTAAGGTTCGCCTTTATATACTTTATCTTCTTCAAATTTCTCAAAAACCCAAGCGAATGGACCTTTCATGTATTCGTCAATGAGTTTTTGGTCGTCGGAAATGGTTTCAATATCCTCTGCACACGGTTCGATTGTCGTTTCTGGAGAGTTATCGATTCTGATTTTCTTTACTACCTTCTTTGTTCGAGGTTTATTCTTGAGTGAGATTTTTCGTCCGGATGAAATCGTACTATCATTGGTATCTTCATCATGATCACCACGTTCATCGATTTTTGTTTCAACTGCAGATTCATCGCCATTGATCGTCTGATCACTGTCTGAATCATCTCCGGATTTTCTTTTGACGGACTTTGTGAGCGGCTTTTCCGGCAATTCTTCATTGATATCAGTTTCAGAATCACTGGTAGCTTTTGGACTTTTGTTTCTAGTTTGTTTTGAACGAAGCGATTTCTTTTCTGGGAGACTGCTACTTTCAGACTCTTCGTCACTTGAATCTTCGACAAATTTTCCTTTCTTTTTTGTACTTTTAACTTTCTTAGCTTTAACTGATTCATCATCGGTTTGAATATTAGATTTATCATTCATATTTTTATCATTTTCATTGCTTCGATCATCGGCAATATTAGCATCTAAAGTATCTTCATCATCGACATCTTCATCACAATCATCATCTAAGAACGAAGTTGCACTAGTGGGTTTGGTCCTACCGGGTCCAAGAGTTTTCGTTGACTTAGCATCAGAATCCTGTTTCTTATCTTTACTCGAAGCAGTTTTAAGGTCTTTTTTGTTTGCCGAGCCTAAATCCCCAGATTCTTTCTCTTTAGGAGGTTCTTCTTCCACAACTTTCTTTTTGTCGTCCTTTTTTCCGCTTTTATCAGCCTTGACTGCATCTACCCGTGATTTCTTCGAAGTGTCAGATTCTTTCGCTTGAGTTAAATTTTGAATCTTTTTATTAACTGATTCTGAGCTCTGTGATGATGAGTCTTCTCCTTGAGCACCATTTCGAGTGATTTCCTCTAATTGGAATTTAAGGGTATCATCTTTGGCAATAGCATGATAAACTGCTTTGAAAAAAGATTTGGGTTGTTTTTCTGAGACCAAAGTTTCATGAACACTCTCATCGGATAATCCTTTCCAGCCAAATCCAGGATAATGATGACACATCCATTTGCACAACCCAGGAGGATATTTAAGCCTTAATGCTATTTCTAATACTTTAGCAACACCATCTTTTATACCAGCCTTTTTACATTGCGAGAAGAACACATGCAACACCCAGATCATTCGAATATATTCATCATTGTTAAATTTATCTTTCTTAGTCTCCTCAATAAAGCGTTCGGCGAGTATCTTTAAAATGTCAACTTCATTTATAATATGCGATGTTACGACAACATTCCAGATGCATGTCCTTTCTTCGTCACCCAGCAGGAGAAAAATTTCTCTGATTGTATTGTCGAAATGTTCCTGTTGATTTTTTACAGTTTTATAAAGAATCATCTTGAAATCGAGGTATATACTGAGAAATCCACACAACGTTTTTTTGTACAATGTATCCATGGCAAGTTTAAACTCGAGCGGGAAAAGACGAAGAACGACAAGTATATGACGACATTCCTCACAATATTTTTCAACTCGCTTAGGATCATCTTTAACCATCTTATAAATTTCGTCCATCTTACTAAAAGAAAAGTCAAAAGTTGACAAAATAAGAGAAAGAGTAAATTAGCTAAAAGAACCATAAAGAACCATAAAGATTGAAATTTGCACAAAAACAAAAAAAGAACCGGTATAAAGACAGTAACCATGGTTATCGTAAATTTATTGCTCAGAACGCAATTCGTTGAGCAAAAAATTTGAATTAAAAGTGTTAAGACAGATGAAAACAGGAAACAAGCAGTGAAACGTGCACGTTAAATAAACAGGAAAACAGAAAAGGTACAAGAAAAACACAAAAAGATAACAGGCGGAAAATAACAATATTAAAACTCATTACTCACCAAAAAACTTCCCTAATATTGTCTTGAAACTCGTCTGACGGAGATTCAAGAGAATTGATGACAGAGTCACACAATTCTTTTAGTAAAACAGGCATTATGGTTAAACTGTTCCAAATACAGTTATGGTACAACAATCAGAATAGAAGCAATAGAAAAATTAAGCATGTACCAAAAAATTATTAAACCAGAAAAAAAGATGTTTATGAAAAAAGGTAATAAAGGTTAAAGTAAAGTATCGGATATTTTCAGCGCCATCTTACACCAGCAGTTGATACAGCAAGTGTTATGAAATAAAAAACTGAAAAAAATCAAAAACAGCTTAAACTAATCTCTTTTGCCGGCACAAGATGGGGTAAAAAGCCGCTATTTTTCTTAACCAGACTTAACCAGAAAGAAAGAGAGGAAGAAAGAGAAAACCGGATGAGAGAGAAAAAGAGAGAAAAGAAAGAGAAGAGGAAAAATAGAAAGAGAAAGGGCGAGGTCTTTCTCTTCTTTGGGGCAAATTAATTTTTTTCCCTTCAGCTTATCTTCCTTATCATCCAAAGGGGGAAACTATTATGTTTATTAATGTTTCTATGGTTACTTTATAAGCAACTATTCTTATTGGTTGGTTGTTAGTCATTTCTGATTGGTTACAGGGTTTGAGTATATAAAGGATTCCTCTGGTTTCGAGTAAGTCCGTTAATATTATAATCTGTCTTACACTATAAGTGAGGTGTTGTTTTGTGTCTGTGTCTTTGATACTTTGGGCTTTGCTCTTTCTCTTTATCTCTCTCAGTCGTCGCTCTCCCTCTCATCTTCATCTTCATTATTCTCATTCAATTTATCTTCTCTTTCTTTCTCTCTGTCTATCTTATATAAAAAAAGAAGGGTTCGCTTCCATTTTCTTTGCTTTCAACCACACCCTATATGTCATCCATTTTTTGCTAGTTAGTTATTCAATCGCTTACTGCAAATTTTTATTTTACCTGTGTCTGTCTTGGTGTCTTCTTATATTATTTTTATCTCTCCTCTTTTAACTTTGTTATTTAACCGGTAATTTATTTATTTTATTCATTGTGATCTGTTGTCATCAACGTTAATTTCGCCCATTTGCCTTTAACCTTTTAACTTCACGTTGATTTTTTTGTTCTCTCGTTATTAACTTTAATAGTTAACGTTTTCACTTGAAATTTTCTAACGTCTTTTTTTTCTCTTTCTCTCTTTCTGCCAACGTTTTTTCTCTCTTTTTTTATTACTTCTAGTTAATTTTTGAGAAAGTTATCTTAATTCCTTAACTATCAAAATGCGTGAATGTATCTCAATCCATGTTGGTCAAGCTGGTGTCCAAATGGGCAATGCTTGCTGGGAATTATACTGTCTCGAACACGGTATTCAACCTGATGGTCAAATGCCTAGTGATAAGACCATTGGAGGTGGTGATGATTCGTTTAACACCTTCTTCTCTGAGACTGGCTCTGGTAAACATGTACCCCGGGCTGTATACGTGGACTTAGAACCAACTGTAGTTGATGAGGTTAGAACTGGTACCTACCGGCAATTATTCCATCCGGAACAATTGATTACTGGTAAAGAAGATGCTGCCAATAACTATGCTCGTGGCCACTATACAATTGGCAAAGAAATTGTCGACTTGGTTCTTGACCGTATCAGGAAACTTTCAGATCAATGTACCGGTCTTCAAGGTTTCTTGATTTTCCATAGTTTTGGAGGTGGAACTGGATCTGGTTTTACTTCACTTCTTATGGAACGTTTATCCGTTGATTATGGGAAAAAATCTAAATTGGAATTCGCTATTTACCCCGCCCCCCAAGTGTCTACTGCTGTCGTTGAACCTTATAATAGCATTTTAACTACTCACACAACTCTTGAGCACTCTGATTGTGCTTTCATGGTAGATAACGAGGCTATCTATGATATCTGCCGGCGAAATCTTGATATTGAGCGGCCAACTTATACTAATCTCAACCGCCTTATTGGCCAAATTGTTTCATCAATCACAGCATCCCTCCGATTCGATGGCGCATTGAATGTTGATCTGACTGAATTTCAGACTAATCTTGTCCCCTACCCTCGTATTCATTTCCCCTTAGTTACTTATGCTCCTGTTATCTCTGCTGAAAAAGCTTACCATGAGCAGTTAACTGTTTCTGAAATAACAAATGCTTGCTTCGAACCAGCTAATCAAATGGTTAAATGTGACCCTCGACATGGAAAATATATGGCTTGTTGTCTTCTCTACCGAGGAGATGTTGTTCCTAAAGATGTTAATGCTGCCATTGCTGCTATTAAGACAAAGAGGAGTATCCAATTCGTTGACTGGTGCCCAACAGGTTTTAAGGTGGGTCTGATTCATAATTCTAAGCTTGCTTTTCATTTTTTATAAGTTAGACTAGCCTTAATTTTATTTCATCTAATCTTTTTCTTTATTCTTTTAGGTTGGAATAAACTATCAACCTCCAACTGTTGTTCCTGGAGGAGATTTAGCCAAAGTTCAACGAGCAGTATGTATGCTTTCCAATACCACAGCTATTGCTGAAGCTTGGGCTCGACTTGATCACAAGTTTGACTTGATGTACGCAAAGAGAGCTTTCGTTCACTGGTACGTCGGTGAAGGTATGGAGGAAGGAGAATTCTCTGAAGCTCGAGAAGATCTTGCCGCTCTTGAAAAAGATTACGAAGAAGTGGGCCTCGACTCTAACGAAGCCGGTGACGATGAGGGTGGCGACGAATACTAATTGAAAATTCATCGTCAAAAACAAAAAAAAATTCACCAATTCATCCAATAACATAAAAGCAGAAACAAAAACTTAACACCATTGTTATTAAAAGCCATCCCTCAGCACATACATATACAGTATAAAAAGACATTGAAGACACCTTCAGCGTGGGCCATTTGGTTTTAAATGAAATGATTTGTATTCTCCAAATAAGGGGATTAAATTACTAAATAAATTGTAAACTTAGATTGAAACCTCTTGAATTTTCCTTTTTTATTGAGTGAGTCTCATGAGTGTCTGGTTTTTCAGCCTCTGCTGACAAATAAAAAAAATACGCAAAAAACGAGACCCACCTTTATTTAATCGATTAGTTGTCTGCGCAATCTTGATATGAATTAAATTAAGTCCATGAGGTTGAATTAGAATGACTGGACATAGTGAATAAAATTACCACATTTAAATTCACTACTGAATATTAATCACTTTTAATCTAATAACAAAAATAATCATGAGTTTCCTTTCCTAGTTGCTTTTTCAAATTTATCATTCAAATGAACACTTATCTTGTCAACGGACAATTTGACAGTTAGGATCTTAATGAAAATGATTATCATGATTGTTTTTTCCTTTAATTTCCTCTTCTAATTAATCTTGATACAATTTGAATTAACAATTGTTCCTATAAGGGTCCCTTTCAAAATATCATTAATTCTGACCTCTCTTTCAAAGAATCATCTAATTCAATTAATAATATGCCCAATCATTGAAACAATCAATTAAAATGTCTTTTATTTTTATACATCCTTAACCGTTTTCCCATTCTGCTTCATTTCTTTGTTCTAGTCTTTTCTTCATCCCGCCATTTTCACAATTTTCTTAATTGATCAAACCAATCATAGACGCCTTTTTCATTATGATTATAAATACATCTATCTGATTGGAATTACAACAACTTCAACAATCAACATACGCTTAAACATCTCTTTTTGCCTTTTTTCTTCTTTTCTTTTTCAAGTCCTGCCAGTCTTTCTCTCCTTTGGATGACTGGCTGCAATAGGCCTTGACGTTCTGTCTTCTGCTCCTTTTTTTGTCTTCAGACTCCTTTCTTTAAGATATTTTCCGTGAGAGAAATGAATAATGTAAGAAACTATACTATTTAAGGTGCATATCAATAAGAGGTTAATTGATTTACATCATGTTTGCTAGCAAAATTCAAATTTGATTCAGTTAATGATAGTCTGTTACGGTTAGATCAACTGGTTTTTTTGTGACTCTTCATGTGTCGTTATTTTGTAACCTTTTGCATCTACAATTATGATGAATGGTTTTTCATGACAACTCAAGCCATTTTTTGGTTTTGAAAACAATTTTTCTTTGTTTTATTTGAAAAAATTATTTATTTATAAATATATGTATATATTGGCAATGTTATAATGTATCAGTGAGTCTCTCTTTGATGTACAATAGTGATGTTTTTGTATTTGTGTCTCTATCTTTATGATTAAACTAAAGAGCGACAGAGATTTAAAGATGCAAATTGTAAAGTAGAAAGAGGGAATATGAAGAGGATGGAAGGAGAGGAAAAGTGACAAAGAAAACAAAATAAAGCCTCAGTCGTCTTCATAGTTTGGGTCATAATGATTCAACTTTTTCCGCTTCTTAACATTACTTTGATTACTGCATCCCCCTTCAGCAACTGAAGAAATATTACGTTTACTCGAGAGCCGAGAGTTTCTATTCTTGAGTCTTCCTTCGCCACCAATGGATCTATTTCCAGGCTTGGAGCCACCTAAATAACAAGAGTAAAAGAAAATGGAAAAGAGCAAATGAGAAATTGAAGTCTAAGTTCAAGTTCAAGATAAGGCTTAGGACAAGACAAGATGGTAAAAATGAAAATAAGCTGAAGAGGCTGAAGAGAGATGAGAAAGAAAATAGAGACGAAGATGATTAGAGAGGAAGGTGAAGAACATCAGATGTAAACATAGGAGATGAGCCAAGAAAAGTTGAAAAACATTTACAAAGAAATTAGATGATAAACAGACAGAAAGCATGGCAGTTAAGGGACGAGGGTAATTATATGAAGTAGAGGAACAGAAAGATGATAAGCATGAATATATTTATATATTTAAGTGAGAACCATTACCGTCTTTAGAATTGTCTTTTAAATCAATATCAACAACTTTTGCTTTACGTGGTGATTTAGTTGGTATGGGCGACTCTGAAGCATCTTTTCCGAAATGATTGAATGCTGAATCTACATTTTCAACTTCATCAAATTCAAGAGAAATAGGGAGAAAATAAAGTCCATCCTGTTCTGCAGATTCATCCTCATCACTGCAAAAAGAGTAAATGAAAAAGAAAATTATTTCAAAGTAGAGGGAGAAGAAAGACCATAAAGGGCATTCTTATTATAACCTCAAGTTAGGCATAAAAGAAATTTTCTGAAAATCATTTTCATTGAAAAAGAGCAAGAGTAGTAACCTGCTGAGAAGATGTGTTGATGGCTGAACTCCAAGCACGTCCACTTCTTCATCTTCGTCATCGTTGTCTTGTATATTGCGAGCAGGAGAACGATCATCATCTTGAACATCAAACTCAGATTCTCTTTCTTCATATTCAACATTTTCATCCAACTCTTTGAAGTCAGGGGCAAAAGCTGACCAGTTTTCTATTTGTGCTTGTGCCCATACCGAAACAACTCCGCTTGATATACTGGCTATGATTGATCTAAGTGGATGCCACTGCAGAAAAGAAACATGAAAACAAAAGAGAAAAAAGCAAAATTAGACTTGAATTAGATCAGCAGACTTATCGATCAGTCTAGAGAGAGTTAGCAGAGTTAGCATAGGTTAACAGACAGAAAAAGACAAATAATAGAATATAAAGTGAAAATACAACTCAATTCAGAGACTGATTCTCGAGTTCAACTCAGAATAAAAAGCCATACAAAATGAAATGAGTAAAGAAAGGAAATGAATGAAACTTTTCTCATACTAGCCAATTTCATTTGCTACATTTGGTATACTACCAGAAGATAAATAATAAATAAAGTGATGAAATCTCAGTTCGAATTACATTAACCCACCAGATGTGGAAAAGAGTAAATTTACATAGAAATCAAACTCACCACCACATCAATTAAAGTCTCACCCTTGGTACCTTGCAAAATTTTCACCAATCCTCCTCCGCTTGCTCGGTCATAAATACATAATGTATGTTGTCTAGCTGATCCAGCACATATGTAATCCGCATCTACTCCACCTGAGAAGCAACATTTCTTCCAAGTTGTCTTATTAACTTGATCCTGTATCCTCTGGATAGGCTCAGGTTCTCCGTTAAGACCACAATTGAGTACTTCATGTGTTTCATAAACACGTATTACTCTATCAGAGGCATTAACTAAAAAAGTGTCCTTTCGCTTAGGCGCGAACTCGATCTGCTTAACAACAATATTTGAACTTGCAACTCGAAAAGATGCCACAATATCCAATTTGTTTCCCCCATCTTCCACTTTTATTACGAACATTTTGCCTTTTGCGTTACCACAGTAAATGTATTGACCACGGCGGTCAAAAGATGCAATGATATTGAGATCAGAATCTTCATCCATAGGAAGGATTACATGAGTTTTTTCGGGAGGATTTGTATCTACAGGACGGAACAATAGAACAGCTTGATGACGGTTGGGACATGCGAGGATCATACGATCGTTTCGTGGATTGAATTGAACTTTCAAAATTGGACAAGAAAATCTCCACCGATAAACATTTTCTCCAGTTGCAACATCCCATATACTAACATTATTGTCATTGGAAGATGAGACTAGATATCTTCCACTTCGAGACCAGGATAAACTTGAGACTGGGTGGACGTGAGCAGTGATTATTTTACAAATACCACGAGTAAGAAAATCCCAGATTACGATTCTGCCATCATTACAACCAACAGCAAGAAGAGTACCTCGGCGATTGAAACCACAGGTTGTTGCGATTGATCCACTGTCAAGTTGGCCATCAAACTCCTCCGGATAGCTTTGTCCAAATTGGTGGAGGAGCTCAAAGTTCATTGTTAACAGCTGATCTATTGATCTTTAAACACTTTGGGTGAATAAAAATCAACACTAGTGGCAAAATTAATTGTAAACGTCGTAATTAATGAGTGAAAACATTTAAAAGTAACATCAAAAACAATCAACTTACCATCATAGAAAAAAAACCATTCCTGAATAACATTTGTTGTCACAGAGCGCCATCTTTGAAATTCATATATACGATTTTATTTTACTTTTCCATTGTTAATCAATGGAAGCTGTCTGATAAACTAATAAAGAAACAAAATTAACACCAAAGACTAATTTAATTTTAACAATTTAAATTTAATAATTTACTGATTACATCCCTACATCCGTAAAAAGTCAATAATCAAAGATAAAAGAGATAAATTTCAAAGAATTAATGATGAATTTTGAAAAAATTTTACTCGGTAATGATTTGCAAGAAATCTGGTAATTTGCAAAGACATTTAATGTTTTTTTGATGGAATCAATTAGAGGCATTTTCTTCTGAAATAATGCTGATTAATAGCTCGATATTTGTCTAAAAATTGAAAAGGGTTGAAATATTAATCTTACAGTTAATAAGAGTAAAATTCAACCATGAATTGAAATCTAAATACAAGATGTCTTGTAACCTGGATAAAGATTGTAATAAAATAAAATAATTAAGGTTATCAACGGCTAGTATTATATTTTTACAGTTATCAACGTTAATAATGAAATAAAATGCAACCTTTATTTGTTTCACATTTATGTGAATAATCAAAATTTATTGTTCAGACATTTACTTTTCTATTGTAATTGTTAGCAAATTAAATTGATTTTTCAGAATGACTTCCACCAAAGCTTACTTTCAATATAATCAAGCTAACAGCTCAAGATTTGTTGAAGAGTCAGTTTTATCAGATAAGTTATGATGAGTCTCATGTAACATTTGAAATTCACAATATTATTGATTATTGATTGGAGCAGTTTTTTGATTGCCATTTTTCAATTTGCTTAATCAAACAAAACCTTACAACCAGCATTAGGATAATTGGTAAGTTTAAAAATTAATATACTAATGTAAACAGCTCTCATTGATGGAAATCATTTCTGATTGTTTGCCAATATTATTCAAACTTGATTAGTATATTGTTTTAGCTTCTGAATCTGAACCACTGATTGCTGATCAATTTCATCAGGTAACCGTCAAATTAATCAAAGTTTAGATAACAGCTGTGATAGTCACTCAAGTTGTATACATAACTGACAAGGTAAAGAGGAAGAGATTGCATCAAAACAGCAAAATCAAAAGGGTAATCTAGAAAAGGTTTGGTGGGACATTCTGAATTCAATTTCATTTCCATAAATAACTGATAATAATGAAACAGAGATTATTTAGATTTGAAACAAAAACAGTTAACATGGCTGGTTGAATATCAATCATTTGGCCATTCAGTGAGAGTCAGTTTCACCATAATAACGGTCGTTTATTATCAAGATGGGAAAATGTTGCAACCATAGCCAACCATAGATATGTCACGTTAGTTAATTGCGTGCTTTGATTAGCAACCAAACCACCATGAAAAAAATGATTCAGATAGAGAGAGAGAAAGGAAAGGATAAAAAGAGACTGAAATATTAAAAAAGAACCAGTGAGCAATAAAATCTCAAAGAGATTCTTATTCAGATATTCTGTGAATAACAAAGGTAAAGCTAAGTGCACAAGTATTGATAATTAATATTAGCAAATTTAAACTGGATTACTAAATGATCTAATTTTATAATTTGGACAACATCCTTGGTTTAGGTGACCAAAATTGTGGTTCAAAATAATTGGTCAGCAATATTTTTCTTTGCAATGTAATACTTTCTATCTAGCAACACCTTGATTCACTCTGTTACTGTGCATTAATAAGTCAATAGCTGAACCATTTATCCTTCAATTCTGGCCATCGATTAATTTTTATATATTAAATCAATTCTAATAACAGTTAAATATCCTTGGTGTCAATGAACATTCCGAGCTATCTTTGGTCTACCCTTTTAAGATACAAGTTACTTTGGTTCATCGATTAATTAAACACCTTTATTATTTACCATTATTTCCTTGGATTGAAGAAATGTGGAGACTTTTAGAGGATCTTGACATAAATGAGTTGACATTCTGGTTACCTAGACTAACCCCAATCATGATTATTTGAAATATGATTACTTCAGGTAAACTTATTGATTCGTCTAACAAAAATATTCATCAGCAAATGAGAAAAATATAAGAGCTTTAAAATAGCCGTTGAATGGACTTTTGGTATTTTGATATTGACAGATTTGATAGATATCTTGATTCTAGTGAATTGATGTTATGGTGAATTTCAATTTTTTAATTGTAATAGCTAATAATCTAAATATCATGACTCCACATGAAAAATTTAATCAACCGTCCAATCAATTTGATAAATGAACTGGTGCTTAAGGTAAGGATGAATTGAGATGATTAAGAGTGAAATCAAAAATGATATTATTATTAAAGCGTGTGATTGCCCAATCAGTGAGTTTGGTACCTGGAAGTGGTTATTATTAACTCACAATTAAAATGGAAGATTATGTTTGACTTTTACTGTTGAATCATAATTAATCAATAAAAGGTTTCTATCTCAACACATATATCTTTAATAAGTAAATAGCACTAATCATGATTTGATTAAAAGGTAATAACTGATGAAGATTACCAAACTAATCAATAAATAATATTCAAAAAGTCATCACAACTCTTCCAATTACTATCAATGAATTGATTCAATTGGATTATAATCAATGAAATGACTTTTCACTTCCTGGCGTTAGAAATGGTTAGGGTGAAATGGGTTGAGTCGCGAAGGGACATTTAATTGTTTATAACTCCAATTAAATTGAGAGAATGGACGAGGAACTGAATTGATTTTTCTCTTCATCTTGAATTTAATAAGCCGTTTCAATATTGGAATTGGTTTCTCATGTTCGATTCGTTTTCAATTTGAAATATTCAAATCAGTTGATCAGTTTTTCTTAGATCATTGAGTAGCCAACATCAAATTTGAGTCACAAGTGATTTAAACTTAAAAACATCACCAATCTATTGTTTTCTATTGTTAATGCAGTTTCCAATATTCGCAACCAAATCCATAACATTGGTATTTCTGTAAATCCATCCATCCAAAGGAATAGCCATTAAAATGGCAGCTCCATTTAGTACTCTTTTATCGTTAATTGTAATGCATGGCATTTCAATGACCCTCTGGCGTCATTTACTGAACACCACAATGCCATTTCAGGTACGAACTAATAATAATCTACCAAGATTTACATTCCAGTTATCAAATACAATGACACCTCCAACGGGAATAGACAATTTGTTGAATCCAACAGCAACCACTGCATCACCATCATTATTAGGCACAAGTTCCCAGTTAATTTCATCATCATCATCTTCATCACCATCATCATCTGCTTATATTCAACCAATTATTCAGCTTCATCCAATTCCTATTTCACTGCCATCATTAACAGGTTTACATGGAATAAGTGGTTTAAATGGTTTACAAGGTTTGCAGGGCCTACAGGGCTTACAGGGCTTACAGAGCTTACAAGGCTTGCAAGGCTTACAAAACTTACAAAGTTTACAAAGTTTGGCTGGATTAACGCCGTCTTTATCAACTGGGTCGAACGGTCAAATGATTTTATTACCAATATCGCGACCGCCAGATAAATATGTTAAACAACAACCTGTCTATATTCAACAAATACCAGCACCAGTGGTCCAAGTGACACCAACTTTAGTTACTCAGGCGTCTACTTTGAAACCGATCCGAGTGTTTCCACCAAGAAACTTTGTTCCCTCTATTAGTTCGTCAACAGTGAAAAGTGTGCAAAAAGGATCAACGTTTTCCTACCGTGAAACCAACCTTCCTGTGCGAAATAACTTTGTAACCAAAAAGATAGGAGAAACAGGACTCACAACGATCAGGCCTATTAGATTAATTTCCAATCAAAGTGATGCTCTGACTGATCTTAATAACGTTATTACAGATGATATGCTTGATTTACAAGGTTTGTTGATACTCGAAAGTGTTTACCTCCAGCAAATCAATAACTTTACCCAATTTTTAATGAGCTCCATTGTTCGAATTAACGAGTCCTTTGATTTTATTTCAGGAGATGTCCAACACAAAGGCTTTAGATCAGTTTGTTTCTATTTACTCAACACTTCGGATGAAATGGCTTTACCAGTGAGCAAGATCGATCCCGCTCTTTGTGATCACATAATAGTTGGCCATGCTTTAATTGGTCCAGAAAGTTTGCTTTGGTTCCAACATCCTGAGAGTAATACTGAAAAGTTAGCATGAAATCTATTGTGATCAAGAAAATAATGATTAGAATTTGGGTATTTAAAATTTCCTTTTTTTCACAGATTGCACGAGTTGAATACCTTAAAGAAAAAGAACCCTAATTTAAAAATTTTGCTATCCATTCGTATGGGCCAGTCTAAAGTCAATTCCATGAACGAGTTCAATATTTTGGCAGCTGAAGAAAAAAGGAATCAATTTGTTGGTTCATTGATTGATTTAGTCAGTCTATACAATCTTGACGGTGTCGATTTTTTCCGTTTACATCAGAATGAGACTAAATATCAAGAATCTAAAAGTGATTTGGTTTCGTTACTAAAGGTAATGTAACGATTTCAAGAGAGTCAAATGACTTCATTTCAAAAATTGAAAATCAGTATTTCTTCGTTGTTTTATAGCTGACTCGAAAAGAATGTTTACGAAAAGGTAAATTGGACACCTTATTAACCGCCACAGTCTCCGCACATCCTGACATCGCTTCTAAATTTTACAATATAACAGAATTGGTTAGGTAAATAAAATAAAAACAGTTGCATTTTTAATCGTTAATTTTCACACTTTCATCGTATCATTTTTATAACTTACATTTTCATTCCAGAGCGTTGATTATTTGAACTTGTTAACGTTTGATTATCACTATTATTCGGAATCAAAGCCATTTACTGGACATCATAGTTCACTCTATCCACGAATTATAAATCCTACTGGAGTAGAGATAACAAGCACGGTAATTATTGAACATTACTGTCAGTCATAACATTGATAACAGTAATTTTGAACTAAAAATCCACTAGATGGTAATGTTAACATTATCTAAATTGAACACAAAACAGTCTAAATAACACACTAATATTGATTTTCCAGATAGATGGCTCTGTTTTTTGTAAATTTGAGCGGCAAATTTTCTTTAATTTTTCAAATTGTTCAATTGTTTATCATCTGAAAAATATCTACATTCGAGTTTATTTTTATTTTAATATTCTTTTCTTATTTTTTATTTACATTCAGGACGAAGTCTGTAAATTTTGGCTCAAACAGAAGATCTCAGTTCGTAAATTGATTCTAGGTGTACCCACATTTGCTCGAACCTTTAATTTGGCTTATCCATTTGGTCAAGGTTTTAACTCACCTAGTGTTGGTCCTGGTTTAGGTAAAGGTCAACTCAATTATACCAAAGTTTGCGAGTTCCTGAGTGATGGTGGAATAAGTGAATTCGATGAGAAAGGGATGGTACCTTTTGCTCACCGTAACTATGATTGGATATCCTATGAGAATGAACGAAGTCTTTCTATTAAATCAAGATATGCAGCATCAAGAAAGATGGGTGGCGTCATGACTTATGCATTGAATTACGATGATTGGACTGGAACTTGTCGTGATTCAAAGAGTTTTCCACTGTTAAGAGCTGTTTCCAGTACACTTAAATTGGCTCAAATGTCAACCTTTAAAAACTAATCAACCAACATGACTAGGAACTTGTTACTCAAAAACCATATTTTTTGTTCATTATTCGTTATTATTACATTTTTTGTTCTTTTATATTTTATCCTTTGTTTTCAATGTACAATTAACTCCGGATGATATGCCATAAATTAATTTAACACACCATTGAACAAAACCAAAAAAGACTGAAAATTTTTTGACTTGATGCACAAATTCAGGTGCAAGTCATAACAGTTTATCGGTAACCTAGGATTCTATGAGCCTGACTTTCATCTCCTCTAATATTTCGTGAATCACTTGAAAAACTGTGCATAAAATGATCCATTCAATTGTTTAAAATTGTAATCAATTACAGCTCTAACAAAAACTAGAGATAACAGGTCAATATAAATACATAAATTTATTTCTTTACAGATAAATACTGTACACTTTCGGCAATTACAATGTGTTAAAAAAAGCTTTTGTATTACAAATGGTCCCAGTCATTTGTTATGTAAAAATATCTTCATCCACATCAAATGTGATACCTCGATTTAGCGAGGAAATCAGTAAAAGGCAACATTAATGAAAAAGGGAAATGTTAATTTAAATCACTTATTCAAGATCTAATTTTCACGTCTAATACTTTGTATATTGCAGCCTTAATTCCTGCCCAAGTCTCAGTAGCAGTTGGAATAATTTGATCAGCAGGAAGCAGAAATCCATAAACTCCTTTATCACGCAATTCAACCAGATAACTGTGGGCAATTCCAGCTCTTTCATACATCCAATCCATGGAGAAACCTGATCCAACATAAAGTGATGTTGACAAAGGACCAATAGTATACTGGACACCATGTGTTTTATAAACAGCATCTTGGATGGCTTTCAGAACCTCCATGTGTTCACGATAATGAGGTGTAGGAGCTGTATCGTAGGCATATGGACAAGCCCAAAGTTGACTAAATGAATGAATACTAATGGCAAGCTTAATGTTTTTCCTCATCGTCCAAATTAAATGGCCCACTGATCGTGTTTCAGGCTCAGAAAAAGGTGATGGCCCTTGATAAAGTTGAGAGCAAACATCATCCGAAGAACCTTGTCCATCAAAAGAAGCATCAAAATTTCGATTAAGATCAACTCCATTGCACTCTTCGGTCATTGCATCGGCTGATCGAGGTAAGTTTGGTAAAGATGAAGGTGATAATGGGCTTGTTGATGAGCTGAGACGACGATTCTTCCTCCATAGTCTATCAACTGTCCAAGAATACTCGTAACCATCTGGGTTAAATACTGGAACCATTAGGAAGTTAACTTTAGCCTTTGTTACCAAGGCTTGTTCAATGATGTAGATAATTGTTGCCGGACTGATCCATTCTCTTGCATGAATGGTTGCATCAATCCACACCAAACGAGGATCTTGGGAATTACCACGAATCTCAATTGCTTTAATCTTACGTCCTTCGTGAGTCTCACCAATGTCAAATACCCGAACCGGAGCCACATTGACAAGCTCATCAAGGTAACGATAAATTTCATCTAATGGCTGATACTTGTCAAGCCTAAAATCACGCACCAAAACTGATTCAATCCTTTTCGTTGACCTAGCTGACCGGATATTGGGTCCAAATCCTCTGTTTATCCATTCTTGAAGGTCATCTGATATGATTGAATAACCTGTTGATCGTTTCAATCGATGCCGATGGGCTGGACCAAGTCTTAAAACGCTAAATGTGCTGTTCATTTCATTGACAGTCCATAACTCCTCCAACTGTTGAAAGAAGAGTAAAAAAGACATTAATTAATTTTTTGTTGGCAATTGATTGACGCTGTGCATTTCTTCAGGCCTACTTCGCTCTTAATCATTATCCTGAATTTTTCACCATTTTTGCACCATTTTTATTATTGTTTACTTTTTGGTCGACAAAATTTAGTTTAACTAATCAATTTAATCTGGTTGACAACAACAGCAATAATAGTTGTACTAACAACAACGGGTTACAGTTTCATGGCCAATTAACTGTCAACACCCAATCAAAGAAACCAGTTATCGCACCTTTAAATTTAATCACCGTTAATGCAATTTTTCAGCTAAATCAACATTAAAATGTTTCAATCATTATCAAGTTATCCAATTGCTCAAGATGAAACAAGGAGATTTACACAAGAATCAACTAGATCTTAATCAGATATTGACAATTGGATATTGAAATTGGCTGGTAACAGCTGAAAATCAACCAGATTGTCTCATAGTTACCTTAATTAAAAAGATACTAAGCAAGGACAATCAAATGTGATTTAAACGACAATCGAAAATTTCTACGAATAAATTGTTAAACAAATTGGATGCAACAATCAGATAGTTGGATGGTGAAACTAAACTACAATCAAGCCAAATATACAATTCAATCTAATGCCAATTTCATTACAAAACATCTATCAAATTAAACTAACAATTTAATGTAAAACAAACCGAAATAAATTTAATTTCTCAAATAAACTTTTTACTTTATATGAAACAAAAAGATTATTTATCGTTACCATTAATTTTGATGTAACAATTTGGTAAAAATTAATATTTTTTAATATAAACTGGTTCAAAGTGCAATCAAATATTGGTTTGTAAACTATTTTCATTACTAAAACCAATTGAGGGAAGAAAATGAATTTAAAAATTTTAGTCATAAATGAAGCAATGTTAGATGAAAGCGAAATGACTAAATTTAATCAACATCTAAATCTTTTGAGGCTCTAAATTAACATGCATTAGGAAGCAAATTTAATTTTAAATGGTTAGTTAATTAGTAATTATAAAGTCTTACCTCATTATCTGAGTTTTTGGATCCTTGTTGATGGCTTAAAGTTGATCCATTAAAAAACGGAAATAATTTTGGTACTTCATTTGATAATAATTTAACAACTGTGTGTCTTTGGTTCCAATGAAAGGAAAAACAAATTTAATCAATTGGTCTAATTTGATCATTAAAATGCATTTTATAACAATCACAATCAGTTGATCAAAAAATTGAGACAAACAAGACTACACTTGTACTTAACACTAATTGTTTCAAATCACATTGAAATATGTTTATGACGCCAAAACGAGCGGAGTTTTGCCAATTGATTTTATCTTACATGTAAAAATTGATCAACTTTCTGATCAGAGGTGTTTATTGCTAGTCATGACATTGATCAACTAATTGGTAGGAAAGTTTGAGAGTTAATTTGGTTGGGAAATTTGTCATAAACTGCATTTTAATGGGCAATGACAAGTGCATTGACAAAAGGAAAAGTGAAAACATACCCAGAATAATTCCTTGGAACAGAAATTGATCTTGACAATGAATCTGATGATAATGTTGATACGAAATTAGAACAGTTGATGATTGTCACAATGAAAGAAATGAGAAAAAAAGGTTGTTTACTCATGGTAATTGGTTAAACAATTGAAAAGACTAGAGATTGATTTGAAGAAAGATCATGGGTTGTGTTAGAACCAGAATTAGATATGTCCGTATAGCTTAATAAGAAACAGCTAATGAAATAAATTAATCCGATAGTTAGATGGACGATTGTTGTGATGATTAATCATGTTGATCAAACACTGTAACAGATCCACAATGACATATAACCAAATACAGTTGATTAGTTGTTTGGAAGGTAAGATGTAATCCAACAGAACAATGAAACAAACGGAGAAGGAAAAAAAGTGTATTATAACTGTAACTTTTACGGTGAAAATTGAAGAATGAAGAACAGACAACGATGATGAGGAAGAGAGAAGTTAAGAAAAGACAAATGGGAGAGTGAAATGAAAGGTAAGAAAGGTAAAGACGGTGAAAAAAAATGAACTAAAGGAGGAGGAAGAAACAGAAAGCGAGAGTTTACAGTGTCCAGCAGGAATCCTGTTTGTTCTGATGTTGATTTTTGGTTGAGATTATGTTGATGGTAAAGAAGATGTTGATAGTGATGGTAATGATGATGATATTGAAGAGAAGATAAAAGAAATAAAAGAAGGAAGGGAAAGAGGAAGAAGAAAAAGGTAAGACAAACAGGAAGATTTAACAAAATATTGGTTTACAATGTTTGAGGTTGATATAAAAATAAAATATTAACAATTTCCAAATGATATTTTAAATTTGAACACAATCCACAATAATAATAACTAACAATAAAGATCACATATTAACAATCAACAATCCAATTTGAATTTGGTGGCACAAAAAAAACTGGTAAATGCGAGGGAACGATTAGGCGCTCATTTTTACCATATGATCAACAGATAGCATAAAATGGGTAACATTTGTTTTCAATGTGTGTGTTCTGTTTACTCTTTTTGTCCTTATTAGTTTGTCTTTTTGTAACGCTTCTTAACCAGATGATCGTTACCCAACCAACTAAATGACATTCACTGATTCTGAACAATTCATTGAAGGTAATGTTGAGTAAGATTTCGATAGCTAATAACAGTAAATTGTGTTTTTGGGATGTTTCAAGGAAGCTACCTTTGACTGTTAGATGAGGATTCAAATTTCCTGATAAAGCGTAAGTACAAATTAACATTAGACGTTTCCAATTTTTCCATTCCTCTAATTATAAGGTTTTTAATGAATAATCGCAATATTAATTACTTAATAATGGTTGTATTGTGTCCTACTTTAAGCTTACAATTTGATCATTGTGCTTAGCGATTAATAGCTTAATTATAATTTCTAAATACAAGCCTAAAGTCTTGAAAGTCTGTTTTGTTTTTTTCCTTTTTTACTTTTCCTTGATATTAGAAATGTAAATGCTGACGATTAAATTTTAGGTCTTCTTTGATTAATCTGTTCCGATATTTTTTCATTTTTTTCAATTTTATTTTATTTTTATTCTCATATCAGATAAATATCTTGAGTTGCTGATAACTGATATCAAAAGGCTCAATCAAATTCAAAGTGTGAGTATTTTTAAAATTGAATAATCGCAGCTCAACCATTTACATCCATGACCAATATTGTTTTCAATTTGAGATCCACTTTCTGATTTTCCACTTTTTTATATTAAACTAACGTTGAACAGTTTGATGATTAAGATGATCATTGAAATGTGATTAACCATCGATAACATTAGATCAAGGTTGAGTCTAGTCATAAGCTTGGATACATCAAAATAGTCGATGTTTTAGGCCTGAACATAACAATTTGTGGTTTCTGTACATCAAGATAAACCAATTGCAACTCAAACTGTTATCATTTAAATCAATCAAAATGAATGAAAATTTCTAGTTGATTCTAATTACGATTGAGGAGCCAAAAAATGTTGGCAATTTTAATCAGTTTGGGATCCATTCATGTTAAATACTCGACTTGGCAAACTTTTACTATCTAAATCTAACAATTAACCACTTTCTCTTTTTTAATCATCTATTTTGGCTGATTAGTTCTGACAGTCGAGTCAATAATACCTGTTCTGATGAAATTTATATTTATACCAACAATAACCAATTCAAGTTAATCAACTGAAAACAACAACAACAACTCATCAAATGAAGATAAACCAACTGTTAATTGTATTTAACATTATAATGGAGTAAGACTAAAAAAGTAATTACAATTGAAACCTCATTAAACATTAACAATCACATCAAAAAAGAGTGAAAGTGAATTACAGATTGAATGTTAAATTAAACAAGACAGACAATCACTTTTTATATTCAATCTGATGTACCAAAACAACTGATTAGCATGCAAGATTCATTCAGTATATTGGATTCTAAATCGGATTATATGAAAAGAAATCCTGAATTAAGATGATTGTTGATTCAGAAATTTCATCTTCAAGTTGCAAAAACAAGTGAAGGCAAAAACCAAATTTTACCCAATTCTGATCTTCTTTTTACTCTATTTTTTCCAGATTGACAAGATGTTTACCAAATTTACCAGATTCTGGTGCTAATTGGACCAGATTTTCCCAAACCTAAAAGGATTTTGACCAAATCTCACCAGATTTTGGAATCACAACAACCAGTTAACCTAATCTTATTCCGAGTTAGCCAAAAGACTCAAGATTACTTCCTGGTGATACCAATCTCAAGATGTTGAACCATAATGTTGATTAGTAACAATACAAATATGTATTGTTACAGCGGAAAGTTAACACAATTAGCTGAGTTGATTTCGTGAATTGATCAATCAATGATAATCAAATAGCTGATAGTCAATGCACAATAGAGTCTATCATTTGCTAGACGAAGCTGTGAAACTGTTAGACTTTACAGACAAAAGGTTTTCACTGTTTGAATTGAGTTAAATTGTTTTAAATCAGATTTAGTTATGCTTTCCATTTTTCTCCTGCTAAAGTTGGTAAACATTGAGATCATTAATTTTTGCGGACTGATTGTAATCACATCAGGAATTGTAGTTGAAACCTTTCTACATTGAGTGTAACCTTTTCAACTAAAGGTGAAATTTAATGGTAATGGCAATTCAATAGATCAGGTTATCCCAGGTTTTATATCAAATCTAATTGTTTTCAATTGGTTGCAAGTTGAACTTTCAATTTCATTTTCATCTTTAAGGCAAATTTTTCAAACTCAATCCAATCAGTTAAACACTCAATTTGATTGAATCTTCTGATTTTACATTCAGATTGATTCAAAATAAATGAACTGGCTTTTACTCAGTGAAACCAGCAATTCCATTGATTGCCATTATTTGTTAAATTAATTTTATTGATTGCACTATTGGTTTCCATTATAAAACTTAATCCAAGCAACAAGGTTAACAATTGTAAACCAGTTTCTTAATCACAACTTAGTCATTTGAAACCGTTAAGATTGTTTCATTGTCATCATCCTCACGAACATCATAATCAGTAAATTACCATACACGCAATTGATAACGAGTAAAACAATTAAGACGACAAGCTATAGCCAAGTATATTAAAGTAAAGGAAAGCATTTCAAATTGCTGTTCATTCAGCCAAATAAGCTATAAATTTATTCATTTTCCAGTTTATAATCATATTTTTTTCATTAAATTGTATTGTTTCAAAATGAAAATTTATCTGAGTGTTTGATCACTGTTTTCAAATAAATCACATTTCAAATAGTAACATGAATGAAACAACAAATGATGAACTTTCTGTTTGCTATTTACAGTATTCTTGGTGAGACACTTGAAGTAAATTGGAGTAGCTTTTTGTTTTGTATTCAGTTGAATTGAATTGAATCACGCAAAAATGATTGTAAGTGAGGTTGAATACAAAGATCAGATGAAGATGTTAAGGGTTTAGCAACCTTCAAAACAATCCGTTGACCTTTTTTGTTACTAAGGCTAAATCACTTTCTACAGTCCAGTTTGGTTTGATGTTGTAACGGTTCAATAGTTTCCTGGTCAGTACAATGCAATAAAATATTGATTCACTATCACTTGAAATGAAAGTTTAATTGGTTGAAATCATTTCTTTTGCAGCCAACTGTAATATTGCATGAAACAATCCATTAAAATTTCATCTCAGGAAGAAATCTTGAAACAAATTAATCAGATTCGAATGTCATTAAAATTCAAAATTAGAATCGACTTGAAATTGTAACAATCAATTTTACGATACATTTTTCATTGGAAATTCTAGTCGATTCTTTGAAATCAAGTGTTACTCCAATCTGATCGAATCTAATGACTGTTAGTTGAGTCTTTTCGTGCCATCTCTGGCTCTGCGAACTGTTCAAGCTGTTTATGGAAAATTGACCTCCAAACTTTGGACAATAATCCGGTAACCTTCTGCTTATCACCGATTAATTCGGTTCTGCTATAAACTCGCGCAACTTTCCCATTCATACTGAGTAATTGTGAGATGAAAAGAATGAAATCACTTTCGAACTCGTCTTCGAACAAGATTATCTTATTAAATTTGAACATCTATTGTAAAAAGCACCTGATATTTTCTTCATTTTCCCCACTAAGGAACGTTAAATCTGTGAAAATATTAGTTGAATAATTTTATTATTCAACTCATTCGACACTTTTTTATTTGAGCCCATTCAAAATGATTGACGAAGAAGTTTGACGTTAAAAAACATGATTGTGGTGGAAATGCACTCATTCGCAAATGCAGCTCCAGTCTAGCCCATTTAAACTTTAATCTCAAGTAGCTCATCAGCGGAACTCGTTTTGTGTCATTCTACCAATTTTAGGTCAGAAGTCGAGCACTTTTTGACTTCAAGCCGTTAGAGTGATATGTGATGGAAATTGTCAATCCTTGGCAATTTTAAAGCCTCAAGTGATCAATATTTCGATAAGAACTCTAAAACCATGCACTAAATAGATTCTACATTGAAGAGATATTGAAGAGGTTATGAGTTACTGGCTTTCATGAGTCATCACTATTCTTTTCAAAATTTATAATTCATTACACAATTAGCTCGATAGAAGATGTAAAGTTAGTAATGCGAAGTGTATTAAATAAATCAGGGTTTTCTGATAACTTAGAAAATTCAAGCTCTTCAAAGCTGTCATCTCTTAAATTATAATATAATAATAATATTTGATAAGCGAAGAGATGCTGCATAAGATTTAAGCATGACTTAAGAATTTTCCCAGTTAAATTAATGATTAAATAGCAAAATTAAATGTAAATGTAAATGGCAAAGTATGTATCAATAGTTCATTTTTTCCAGAAAGCATCGATAGTAGTAAAAAAAAGAGAAGTTACAGCCAGTTCCGGTACTTCCGTTAAATTTATCGCTTGATCCTTAATCAAAATCTTAGCCTGAATAATTGAAACCTAAGCCTTTTTAGCCAATTTTTGCAAATCAAACTTTTTCTCAGCAAATAATGTACATGCGAGCTAACTTTTGTACCTTATTTGTCATCTTATCTGTTATCTTTGCGAAACAAAGGGCACCGAAAAGGCTTAGGTTTTACTTACATAGATTTTGATTAGGGGTCAAGGGGTCAATTTAACGGAAGTACCTGGCTGTAAAGCGAGGTCAGAAGTGCCTGGCTTCAAATGGAGGCCGGAAGTATCGGAACTGGCTGTAACTTCTCTTTTTTTTACTACTATCGATTGTAACTTTACATTTTATGGAGAAGGAATATTTTTCAAAAAATGATCCAATTTAGTTGAGGGATTTAAAATCCTTTACCAAGACCCATTTGAAAAATAAAGAAAAACTTGAATCATAAAGTTATAATTTACAGATGATGTTTTATTTATTAATCATCCATTTTCTTGAGCATAGGATGTTAACAAAGGTTATGATAAAGTCCAACAAAATGCCACGGTAAGCATCAGATAAATTGATAATTTGAAGTTTCTGAAGAAGTTGCTGAAGCGAGTTCCATCATTTGCTCCTATGAATTTAATGATTTAGCAGCATTAGTAGATCAATTAAGAGGATATTATCAGAATCCACCTCAACAAATTTTGAATATGACAAAATTTAAAATCCGCAATGCTTGAGATTTAGCTCAAAAACGGCTTAGCCAAAAAAACCAATCACGATTGATTTTGAACCAGCTTTATGATAGAATTGAGGTAAACTTTATCACAGTAAATGTCTTGAATTTCAATTGGCAAAAGTGAAAACAAATGAAGCCACACTTTATCGGTATAACCACCAACTTTGTAATAAACTCGTGGATTTTCAGTAGTCACACTTGACAGTAGAGCATCAATTACTTCTTGAATATTGGTTCTTTTCAAGCAATTTAGATATGTTTGACAATGCATAAATCGTTGATACTCTTGTTCACCAAGTTCTGCTCGTAAATGAGCAGGAGATTTTGACCAGGCATCACGAGAAACGTTGGAAATAAACTCATTGTCAGTGATTCTTGTCGCATACATATTAGGTTCAATTATTGAAACATTGATTCCATAATAAGATATCTCTCTTCTGAGTCCGTCTCCGAAAGCACGAACAGCATGTTTACTCATTGAGTATGGAGTCAACCCTGGAAACGTGACTTGACCAGCTAATGATCCAACAATGACAACTCGAGAATTTTTAGTTTGTCGAAGCAATGGCAAGAAAGATCGAGTCACCCTAACAACCCCAAATGTGTTAACGTCAAATAGATCATGAAAATTTTCTTTAAGGCTGTCTGAACCCCATTCAATTGCACTGAATCCACCAATTCCAGCATTATTGACAATCGCCCATAATTCTGTAAACAACGAAAAAATAATGATGTTTTTAGATTAAATTGTTACAAGAAAATCTTATACATTTGTATTATAGTCAAAGAAAACAAAATTTAGAAACCGTTTAACACCAAATTGTACTATTTTGATAGCAAGTTGTTGATTCTATCAAAATGTTAAACTTACTAAGACAGTGCTAACTACACTGTAGCTAAAAATAGAGAAAAATATAATACTTACTTCGATTTGGTTTGAGATTGTTTATCACAAAATCTTTAGCAGCTTGAATATCATTATTATTTGTAACATCCATTTTAATGATATGCAAATTTGGTCCATATTTTTCTAGACTTTGAGCTGCTTCACGATCAGGGAACAAAACTCCCGCAAAAACTTGATAACCAAGATTACTCAATTGTTTAGCAAAAATGTTCCCAAAACCAGTATCACAGCCTAAACAGAATCATTTTAAAGGATTAATGAGAAAATTTATGTTGAACCTGAAGGTAAACTCACCTGTTATCAGAACAGCTTTATCATTGGGTTCTGTTTTAACTTCAGTCAAAGAGATGAATTTTGACAAATGCCATGAGAGATAAAGTGCCAAGAAGAAAAATCCTAGATGAGCAATTGTATGAGCAAAAGTATCATATCCATTACGAGCAAACCAATGGAATCCAAAAAATATGACTAAACAAATGATGATTTGTCTGAATGAAGCTTTTTGTTGAGACATTGTATATTTTCACAGAGGAAATTTGAAGATCCTATTGATTGGATTGTTTAGGATTTACATCACTACTTTGGACAAACAATAAAGGATTGTATTTCTGTAGAATGAGAGAAATAACACAAAATGAGGCAAAAAAGGAAGGAATGATGAAGAGGTAAAAGAAGAGAAAGAGTGAGAAACTAAAAATGAAATCAGGCTAAAATATAAATATTATTTTGAGTAGCATTCATTTTATGGACGGAAACTTGATTTGTAGCTTGGGACAACTTACAATTTTAACTGCTTCTTTTTTTGCATTCAGATGTCCAAGAAGTTAATCAACTTCTTCTCTGACCTGATTATACTCAGCCCAGTTTTCAATATTTTTTGCTTTTTCTGTGCCTGTTGGCTGTTTCATTCAGCTCCTTAAGGTCAATCTCCTTCTTTTAAATGCTTGCAAGGGCATGGTGAAGTTGTTTTTGAAATCTTTTTCAAATGAAAAGAGTCAATTCAAGATCAGAAACCAATGGTTGAAACTGATTACTTTGGGTTAATTTCTTGCTCAGAGATTCAAGCCTCTTTTTGTGTCCCATAAAACTGCATTTATGTAGCTGATATGTAAGTTAAATAAGCGCTTTTGGATTGTGGATGAAAATAGAGTGGAAAACAATTTGTTAACGCCATTTAGAATTTTGACCTTCCTAAATTTAAAGATAATGTCACATATTGTCGATACAGCGACTGGCATAATTAGTAGAAGTAAATGACTTGATGAAAGGTGAGAAAGTAGGATAATTTTGGCAAGCTGCGTTAAAGTCCTTCATTAGAGTCATCAATTTGGTACCAATTCAAGCTGAATATTTTCAGAATATAAAGGGTGTCAAATTTAATTCCAAGCAAACTGGTGGAGCTTACTATCTTTTTATCACAAATTAAAATAGATAAGCACAGATATCTAAAACAAAAAGCAACAAAGGTGAAGACGGAAAATAAGTGATGT